GAAGGGCCCAGGACTCACTGCAGTACAGGAGTGTGCTCAGGACACAGGCTCTATAGACCTGAATCTTGGTGTATGCCGTCAGATTCTTATTGGGCCACACTCTCTTTGTGAGTCTTGAGAACATGGTAGCTGCTTTCCCAATGCGTTTATCCAGCTTGACATCTAAGGAGAGTGTCAGAGATCGTTGAGCCAAGGTACATAGAGTCATGAAGAGCCTCCAGTTCTTGTGTGGAGATGGTAATAGAGGGAGGTGAGTCCACGCCCTGGCCCATGACTTGTGTTTTCTTCAGGCTGATTGTTAGCTCAAAGTCTTGGCAGGCCTTGCTAAAACAGTTCATGAGTTGTTGGAGGTCTTCAGCAGAGTGGGCAACAATGGCTGCATCATTGGTAAAGAGGAAGTCCTGCTTGCATTTCGGCTGGACTTTGGACTTTCAATCTAGAGAGATTAAAGAGTTTCCCATCTGATCTAGTCCAGAGATAGACACCTTCTGTTGCAGTTCCAAAAGTGTGCTTCAGTATGACAGCAAAAAAGATCGAAAACAAGTTCAGCGCGAGGACACAGCCGTGTTTCACTCCACTTCGGATGTCAAAGGGAACTGATGATGAGCCATCAAAAACTACAGTGCCCTTCATTACCTCATGAAAGGACCTGATGATGTTGAGGAGTCGAGGTGGACATCCAATCTTGGGAAGTATTTTAAAAAGGTCATCCCTGCTAACCAAATCAAAGGCCTTTGTGAGATCTATGAAGGCCACCAAGAGTGGTTGTTGTTGCTCCCTACATTTCTCCTGCAACTGTCTGAGGGAGAATACCATGTCAGTTACTCTCGAAGAATGGAGGATGATGGATGGAACAACAGAGGGGGAGGCATTAATATGCATCTCCTCTCCATACACTGAATTTAGAATGCAGGGACAGGGTGTCATGAAATAATGTAAACTTGCTTTTATAATATGGCCAGAATCCTCTTGCGTGTTTGTGTAAGGACTGTGTAACATGTGGCTAAGTGGCATGGTCACCTTGTGCAAACAGGTGCACTGACTAGCCACATGACAGAGATCTACCCCAGCAATTTACATAAATCTTATGCAAGCAACAAAAGGATTCTGTCCATTATATAGGGAGAGTAAGCTCTCCTATCTCCATTTATTGATGTGAGAGCAATTCAAAAGATGCTCCCATGACTTAATCTCTTTTCAAGACAACTCTCTGAAGTACTCATTCCTAACATTTTTGCTTAAACATCTCCTTTGCTGTCAGTGATGAATCAGCATTAATTTAAAATCTGTATTTAAAATTCTGCTCAATGTGGTACACACCAGATAGTTAGGGTGCATGGGTGTGCTTTAAGAGATTTGCTTTGAAGATTTCAAAATCTCTGTCAACAATAAATTTATTAAAGGTAAATAAAACACAGCAAGTTTTAAGATTCAGTTTTGATCCCTCCTCCACTGCTAACTCATTCAAAGCTCCAGGAAAATATCCCACAACAGTGACTGCAGGAAGAAGATGAAAGCTACTGCTAAAGCATGGTTAAAAAAGAATGCATTTGATCTATAAAATTTTAACTGACACAACTCTACAGAAAAGCTCAGTCTGAACCTCTAAGAGAATCTGCGTTTCAAATGTATGTGTTTTAATGGTACATATTAAGCAAAGTAAAAATAAAAACTGGATTTATTGCAGAGTGGGCATTCAAACAACAGGAGCTGGACCCAATCATAGCAACTCTGATATCTATTCATGGCATACATATATTTGAAAACATGAATCTGCCACATTCGTGTTTTATTGTTTAAATGCACAGCGCAAAGTCATTTTCACTGTAAAAGTAATGGGTGAAATGGTCCTTTTAGCCCAAAAGGGTTAAGATACAACTATCCTCTCCTTGTCCTAATATTCAAAGCAATTAGTATCTTTTGCCACACCAGTAAATTCTGGATATTTATCATGTCTAACATAAAACAAACAAAGCTACCCACCCACATCATTTGACTGAATTTCTAAGGATTTTAAAGTGTATCTATACTACATCTGTTAACTGATTTCCCATTTGTTATGGTTTGCAACTAGAGAATCCTGGGAATGACAGCACTATCAAAGACACTAGTATATGCTTGTCAGCAGCCCCACAAGGCAATAACTCTCACAATTAACTTCAGTCACAACAATTAAATTATTTTGTTTAAACTAGCTGTGCTCAAATGTCTCAGGCACTATTGAAGATGAGCCCATTATTGTGAATTAATCTTTCAACAGATTTAATATACTTCTCTCTCCTAATTATTACTAAATTAGTCATTATCACTTGTTGGAGAATTCCTCTTGGTACAGAATACTGTACCAGGCGTCACAATCCAACAGAGTAGTTTTTCCAAGTCACTAAACTAGATAAATCCTTTCTCTTTACAAACTTGTAGCTGGAGTAGTTGGCCACAAACAGAGAGACCCTAATACAAAACTCTGGTTCGCTATGTGGCATTTGCAGTCATTTTCAGGGTCAGTCTGATACATGTACATACTCACGCCTTTTGTTCTTCCTCTAGATTAGCGGTCCCCAACCTTTTTGGGTCTGCAGACTGGCTGGGGGGGAGCGAGCTCCATGTGCGTTGCAGGCAGGGCACACCCGCGTGAGTGTGGTGGGTGTGTCATGCACATGGGGGGCGTGTCATGCTTATGCGCATGTATAACACCCCCTCGCAGGCAGGACATGCCCACCACGTGAGCGTGCAGGGGGACTGAGATCTGTATCCGCGGCCTAGTTCCAGCAAGCCCACGGACTGGCACTGGGATGGGGACCGGGGGGTTGTCGACCCCTGCTCTAGATCAATGGGAGGCAACCTGCAAGGTCCAGAACCTCTTGGAGGGCTAGGAGTATCCTGTGACCCTCATTCCTGTTTTGTGGCAAATCATGCTATAAAAATCATGACCCCGAAATAGCTTTTATGCACCCCAAGGTAGGTTTTGTGCATTCAGCCACTCCCAAACTCCCCTGCTGGGGAAAAAAAATCTAACAAAATGTAGAATTTTCCCTACAGAGAGCAGTAACCTTTTAAAACAAGATATAGTTTCTACACAGACCTTTTAAACATTTTAAAAATCATTAAAACAAAACTGGAAGTGAACATTCAGATACTTCTGGTCTGCTTTTCACCTGGAGGTGGTAATGGGGTTGGTGCCACCCTGGCAGTTCTTGGAGTTGGGAAATTAGCTCCACGTCACTGAACTTTTCACAACCCAATGCTAAACTGATAAATAGTTTCTTATGATCAGCTGAGGTCCTCTCTCCCCTGCTCTTGCTTTCTACACTTGTCTAGGCCAGCCAAACACATCATACAAGATATATCAGAAGTTGAAACCTTCGTAACACACAGATGGACAAGCCCACAAAGTGCTCTGAGTCAGGCAGGATTTTGATGCTTATGCCATGCTGAGAATTCGAATCCTGCCTTTCTGATGCTGTACGGTTTCTTTCACAGCCATAATTCATACCACTGATGCTAGAGGCAGGCTGAAGAATACGCACATCCAAGAAAAACAGAAATGAAACTTTCTATAGGGTCAGATTAGGTTGGGAATTATAGTTTCATTATTGAAAAAGGGAGAGGTTACACCACCTTTGGTTTGCAGTTATGAAAGAAAAATACTATGACTTGAGGATGTCCAGTATCAACAGTTCTTAAAGATGACAAACAATTCAATCTTTGTAGCCTCAGGTGGATGATTTATTGAGGACAGCAGGCAGTAGATGGACCTTAACTTAAACCTTAAATAGATTATGGAACGCTCTTCCTCAGGAGATCACACTGGCCTCCTCCCTTTTATCTTTCCGCTGACAGCTGAAGACCCATCTTTTCAGGCTTTTAACAATCATGAGAGTCCCTGAATACCTTTTTAAAGTTAAGATAGATGTTTAATACTTTCAAAAATCTATCTTACTCGCTTTTAATTATTTAATCATATTTTAAATAGCGTACAATTTAATTGTTTTTAATGTTTACTTTCTTATGTTTTTAATTCTATTCTTTTAATATTGTGAGCTGCCTTGGGTCCCTTTATCTGGAGAAAGATGGTCTAACAAACGAACAAACAAGCAAGCTAACTAACTAACTAACTAGCTAAATAATTAACTACAAAGAGCTAGGTTGAACTCACTGCTTAACAATGAAGCTGCCTGGGCCAGGTTAGTTTGACCCAAGCATCACAGGATTATTTGTGGATAAAATCATATCATCCTATTAATGATAAAGAAATTTCAGTGGAAAATTTTCAGATAACAATGGTACTAGGAATATTCCAACATACGTACGCCAGCAAAGGCCATCACATTCATGGACACATCCAAAAACAAAATGGTGGATAATGGTTTTTCTGGATACAGTATAAGTGAAACTACACTCTTTCAATTGGCAATTGTAGATGATTACTGGTCAGTCCAAAAGCTAATTTTAGTTGTTATACTCATGTGAACTGCTGCCATCTCTGTTCTGTGTAGCCTGTGCTTGGAAAAATACAGGTATGTATGTTCATATCAAGAGAATACCAGCCACTGTGTAGCCACACAGTGGCTTGTCTTTGTAAAAATAGCAATATGCCTGGGTAAATCAATAGAATATCATGCACCAAAATAAATACAAATAAAGAGAGCTATATTTCTCAATATTCACATGATTTTTCAACACCTAATGTCTCTGAAACTGAAAAGATGTTTTACAATATGCTCCAGGTAGAGAAAGACATTTAAATAATCAGAATTAAGCAAGCAAAATTAATCACAAATAATCTGAATTGTTTCCATTAAAAAAACCCAACAAAACAAAATGAGAAGTCCTATTCAGCTAATACAAATGGTATCCAAAATCCCTCACCTCTCCTTTTGGCAGGATTTTCTGTTCATCCAGTTTAAAGGAAGTACCTATTCTTCTTCGCACCATTGGGGGCTCTTCCCCTGGGTCAAGGGGGTTGTTTCCATTAAAAAAAACCCAACAAAACAAAATGAGAAGTCCTATTCAGCTAATACAAATGGTATCCAAAATCCCTCACCTCTCCTTTTGGCAGGATTTTCTGTTCATCCAGTTTAAAGGAAGTACCTATTCTTCTTCGCACCATTGGGGGCTCTTCCCCTGGGTCAAGGGGGTATTCTCTCGGCAACTTCCCTGTAAGCTCCTGAAAATGTATAGAATATTAGAAGTTAGTTGTATGTGAATGTCTATGTGCATAAATGGATCTCATCTAGATAAGCATTCCATATATACAGTCTCTCAAAAATGCAATATCATAAATGTATTTGTTTAAGAAATGTACTGAAGACTGGTCTTCACACTGAACCCGAGGGCACTTGCATTTATTTCATTAAAATATAAACATAATCAACAGAGAACATGAAATGGGACATTAATTAGCAATCTATCATGTGTTCTAAGATAAATTCACTGAAGGTATAGCAATGATGATATGAAGGTGCTGTTGCTGCTCACACTATCTTTTACACACACTCTTTCTCAAACTCCTGTGTTCTTTTCCTCTCAAATCCCATCTCTTCTCCAGAGTTCATGGCTTAAATCTGTTACTCCTAATTTTTCCACTGGAATCAAATCTAAACATACAAAACTTTTTTTTTGGACTTTCTTCCTCTTCTGTTTTTGTTGTGCTACAAGATCTTTTTCCTATTACTTTTTTGTTTAAATTCTCTGCCAAAATCTAAAATAAAGATTTCTTTGGCTAGGATTTTATTGTCTCTAAAGCACCATTGACACTGATGGCACTATCTCTGTTGTAATAATCATTGATAAGTTTCTTGCGACACATTTTTGTAGTAAATTATTAGTGTAGTTGTAAAACAATATTTCACATCCACAAGCTAGATACTATTTCATGTGACTTTAAAAAATTTGTGGGGTTAATTTATGATTTTGATCCAATGACAAATTATGCAACTCTACACTGAAAGAGTCACTTAAGGTTTGTGTAAAATAATAAAGCAAACCTTGCAGTTTCAGAGCTACAAGCCACTGGCAGAATGACTTTTAAAACAAGATAACTGGCAGCACATTTATTGTGATTTTGTTGAAAAATGCAACATAGCTGTCTCACACAAGCATCAGTAAGTCTTAATACATTGATGCCTATCATGGGAAGTATGGTAATATTGCAGCACTGTGGTATGAAAAAATCTCTGAAATAGAGAAAAGCCCCTAAAACATGAGCAGAAAAGGTTCCATGCTAGGGATTAAAAATATGTTTTGTGTTCTACCTGTAACACGTTGATATAAAAAAAAATCCCAGTTCTTCTGCAAGAACGACAGAAGAGCAACCAACATTGTGTATAGGCAAAATTCTTTACAAGTTCTGTTGAGAAGAACTCAACAGAACCTTTTTGTCTCCCCCCCCCCCAGATTACTGGGAAGGATGGCCTAAATTTAGCCTTAGCACTGAAACAAAAGGAATGACTGCGCTGGATCACCTGTTTTTACATTTTGATCTGCCAGACTGAACCTTCTCAAAACACAAAGATGACGCAGAGCTACTGTCTATTCCACAGAACCTTACAATAGGTGATGCAGCAAATTTTAGTTGAACTGAATAATTAGAATATTTAGCTCAATGAAAAACTGTCCACAATTAAAAGTGGGAGCACATTATTTTCTGTATTTCTGCCCCCCACCCCCCAAATACAAGTTTTTAGAAGAAACAAAGAGAGAAGGCACCACCTTCAAAGAGACATAGTGAGGTGGGCAATGCCACTTTCAAGACGGCACACATAGCTTCCAGACACAGCACCTAATTTAGAACAGGGTCAGGTCACCTTGTTGTCAGGTTGTAGTGTAATGGCTGGCTATATGCTTTCCCATCTTAACCCAACCCATCAAGTATTACCTCTCTTTCTCCAGCTGACACCCCTATCGTTGCCACTTTCCACCCCATTTGCATTTGGGACAACAGTAAATGGGAGAAGTATTCACACCAGCCCCTCAGTAAGAAGCTCGATTTTACAAATACAGAAAGTGCTTTTAGAAAATAATAAATGTTATAGTTATATTTAAAAAATAGTTTTTCAGAACTACTGTTATTCCTATGTGAATTTAAAATAAACACCAAATCTCATATTCTTTCTTAACAAATTTCTTTAGTCAAATGATGTGATGAGCTACAACTCGTTAAACTACTAGCCCAGTTTGGTGGGCTAGTAGTTTAACAGATGGTGCCTTCTGTCTTTAATCTGTGGGGTAGACTTATTTATGTAATAAAGCAGACAACATTAATTTTATTAGCGAAATGACTGACTGTTTAAACCAAACAATTTCAGCATAATTATTTTGAAGTTCCAAGTGGGCATCTCCTACCACAATAATGAAAGTTGATATAAAAGCCCAGAGTCAACCAATTTAAGGAAGTATGGAATTACTGTATTTTTGTATATTGCCTCTTGCAATTTAAGCTGAACTAATATTTAACTAAATCCTGCAGAAATCTGATGCCACTGCTGCCAATGGTTAGGGGCCAGGCTCAGTTTGGCTATTCCTTTTGCCAGCCTGATTGATTATAAGCCCACAATGCCCATAGCAAAATAAACAGTGATTTATGAAAAAATGAAGGCTGAAATTTTAAATAAAACTAGAGGATGATGACTGAACTTTTCTACACACTATCCTGACAAATGCAGGAATAGGTGATAATTTTAACCAACCATTAAGAATATGAAACAAAAACACTATCCTGACAAAATCTGAGCAAAACAGTTTAAACATGGACATGTGGCGCACGACCAAACCTCATAGTCCTTAGTTTAAAGCAAAGTACCAAATCCAACTGTTATTTATGATAAAAGGACAAAATACTGAAATGAAGTTCAGCAGGTAATGTACTTCCTTTTACAGCTTTTACTGAAAAACAATTCTCTCACTGTTTGCCTTAATTTGGGTTGAGTACAGTTTATAGGAAAAACAATTATGTTTTAAAGTATCAAAATAAATGCTCCAAGTTTACAGGATTGCAAAAGACACAATTCAGCTTTTGAATAATATCAATTTCCATTTGAGAAAGTACAGCTCCTGCCTATCACGGCTGCCAATGTGAGAGTACTTTGGCAACATCTGATGAATCTCATGACAAAGAGCTAGTTGAATAGGATTTCCAGTGCTTTTCCCTTCTCAGGTCTATCAAATAAAGAACAAGATTATATAAAACAAAGAAATTTATCTAGTTCAAATAATTTATATGTCTTAGAAATGCAAAGCTCAACGGTCATAAAGTCCAACCTCCAGTGACAGAAGAAATCTACAGCTGAAGCATTTGTGACAGGTGACCATCCAAGCTCTGTTTTAAAACCTGCAATGAATAGAAGCCCTCAACCACTGCTTTGTATGTCTCAGTTTCCTGACCATTCAACATTTTGGTCACCCTCCTCTGAGCAAATCCTAGTTTGCTGATACTCTTTTCAACTGTGGTCCCAGAACTGGACAGACTATTCAAAGTTAAAACACTGACCAAAGCAGAGCAGTACTGTTATTGCCCTTCTATATCTTGATCCAGGTTATTTGTAAAAAGCGTTGACCAACACCAGGCCTAGGCCAGAACTGTGTCTTAACCCTCTTGTCTCCTCACTCCGGGATGGCTAGGAATTGTCGGTGAGCATTTCAGAGAGATGACCAGCAACCAGTTACAACAATACCATCATCTAGTCCAAAATGTACCACGATGGCCACATGAATATTATGAGGGTCTTGTCAAATGCCTTGCTGAAGTCAAGATACTCTACACCAGGGGTCTCAAACATGCAGCCCAGGGGCCATTAGCGGCCAGCCGGATGATAGTTTGTGGGCCCCGCCTTGCCTGCCCCCCGAAGTGCCCACGTGTACTCTGCTGTCAAGAGTCAAAAAAAGCCTTGCCTCGCTCGCTGGCTGTCTCCCAAGACAGTGCCTCTTGCACCCTCCATCTGGAACTGCAGCCTGCCAGCCAGTC